AAACATGTTCCTCGAAATGTAGATGAGATGGCAGTTTAGTGACACTGGAATGTAATTTAGTAGAAGAAAGGAATGTTTGGAAAGGTTGTCTCCAGTAACCGAGAGACACCTTTTACTTGAAATAGACTATTAGTATCCGCTTTAGTTGTACATTTGAGTAAGTTCATTACCAAAGTCCAAGGTCAACTTCATCCCGAGGAGACTGTGATGTCAGGAGTCACATGGTAACTCTGGAGGTGGACAGAATCTGTCCACAGGACAACTGGTTACCGTGTACTCCATAAATCTGGCCTTCATGGAAGAGGGGCAAGAAAAAATCTGCTATTGAAACAACCATAAAAAATCCCATTGGGAGTTTTAAACAAGCCATGTGAGAGACACATCAAACATGTGGAAAAGGTGCTCTGGTCAGATTTTTGGACTCAATGCCAAACGCTGTGTGTGGCGGACAGCCAACACTGCCCATCACCCTGAACACACCATCCCAACAGGGACATATGGTGGTCATGGCATCATTTCACATTCTATATTTGACCTATTTAAAAGTAGAAGAAAGAGATAAAAATGACAAGTGCTGACAATGTCTACTTGTAACACCAATCAGGCATTTAAGTCCATCTTGAAAACGTGTGGCAATTTATTGAGAGCACTGTCCAGCAGTACACTAACATCTGGGTAAAGCTCATTCCATCTCTGCAGCTTTCTCGTTATGAGCGCTTTGTTGGTGCCAAAGTGTGAAACTTGTGTTAGTGATTCTACCTCTTGTTGGTAACAAGCTACTGAGAATAGAATGTTCTACAATGGTTTTCGCTTGGAAATAAAATGTCTCAATCGAGAAGCTGCCGTAAAAACTGGCTTTGAGGTGGAACTAAAAATCTGCGATAACTTAAGGCTTGGTAACAAATCTGACGGCAATAAAACTAAGTAATTTTCTCTGGAACACAAACCAACATTAGATCTTCTCATCCTTTGACCTCTTTGGCTTTCATTGAATTGAACATTCAATTCAGGTTTGAAGTGTGACAAAAAATTATGTATTCTTAATGTTTAATATAAAGAAACCAAAAGTCTCTTCATTAGAGGTATGTTTGGTTGTATTTTAAATAAATATAACAAGATAAATACAACAATGATTGAAAATTAACTCTAAAAATCACATGAAGTAAACTGAATTAAATCCATCTGTAATAACATATGGAATCTATGGTTTAAACACACGTATTCTGCCACTAGTGGAGATGAGAACATGTTTACTCTGCGTCTCCTGTAACTGCCTCTGCTCTGCGGTCACTGAAGCAACACGCAAATCCAAACATCCAAACTTTCCACTGCGTTGACTCTTACTGTGAAATGTTGCGCACTTCCGGTTTTATGGCCACGCTTCGTAGTTTCGTTTTAAAGGCAGAAAAACAAAAAAGGGATCAACGGAGTAAAAAGTTGTCAGTTGTTTCAAAACTAAATAAAAGAAGAAAAGAAAACGGCCGCCCACTTCCGTTTTTGGTTTAAAACGAGAAAACTATTTTCATTTTGTGGTTTTGACGGTAAAAGAAACTATCAAAGGTTACGCTGACCCGGGACAAATCAGGTGTGACAGTTTATAAATGCAACCCGGACGTGTCCACACTCCAGCACTCTAAATAATAATAATAATAATACAATATTTTTGAATAGCTTTACATAAAATGATTTTTGTCAAACAAGGTATTTATAAATATATTCCATTAACCATAACGTTCTACTTCCCCTACAATATTTTACATTCAATCAATTCATTATTAGGCAAGGCAAGGCAATTTTATTTGTATAGCGCTTTTCATACACAAGCCAGACTCAAAGTGCTTCACATTATAACATTTCATACAATAAAGTGAAATAAAATGCAGGAATTAAAAGACAATTAAAAACAGCAAATAAAATTATAAATTAAAATCTTATTTAAATTGTTTAATTAAAAGCAGAGGTTAAAAGTGGAATGTAGGTAAAATTTAGCAGAAGGCGAAGCTGAACATAAAAGTTTTCAGTCTTGTTTTAAACGTGGTCAGAGTTGGGGCAAGTCTTAAATCTTCAGGAAGTTTATTCCAGCTGATTGTTGCGTAGTAACTAAATTTCCCATGATTTGTATTTACTCTGGGAATCACTAACAGATTGGTGTCAGAAGATCTTAATGATCTTGAAGGCTTATGTAGTGGAAGCATATCAGTGATATACTTTGGCCCTAAACCATGTAGTGATTTATATGTGAGCAGTAGGATTTTGAAATTAATTCTCTGACATACTGGGAGCCAATGTAAGGATTTAAGAATTGGTGTAATGTGCTCACATTTTTGGTTTTTGTTAGAACTCTAGCAGCAGCGTTCTGAACAAGCTGGAGCTGCCTGACAGTTTTTTTTGGAAGACCTGCAAGGAGACCATTACAATAGTCTAGCCTACTAGTTATAAAGGCATGTACCATTGTTTCTAAGTCTTGAGCTGACATGAGCCCTCTAAGTCGTGCGACATTTTTGAGGTGGTAGTAGGCCGATTTTGTTACTGATTTGATGTGACTCTCCAAGTGTAAATCTGAATCCATAATAACCCCCAGATTTCTGGCTTTATTTGATGTTTTCAGGGACAGAGAGTGAAGGTGTTGGGTTACTTTAAACCTTTCTTTTTTAGCACCAAATACAATGATCTCAGTTTTGTCTTCATTTAGTTGTAGGAAATTTTGACACATCCAGTCTTTGATTTGCTCAATGCACTGGCACAGAAGATCTATGGGGCGATAGTCGTTTGGTGATAGCGCTACATAGATTTGGGTGTCATCAGCGTAGCAATGGTGGTCAATTTTATTTCTTTGCATGATTTGTCCTAGTGGGAGCATGTAGATGTTGAATAAAGTCGGCCCTAAGATTGAACCTTGGGGGACTCCACACGTTACGTCGGTTGTTTCTGATACGAAGTCACCAATGGAAACAAAATAGTTCCTGTCTTGTAGATATGACCTGAACCAGCTTAAGACTGTGCCTGAGAGCCCCACCCAGTTTTCCAACCTGTCCAAAAGTATTGAGTGGTCGACAGTACCAAATGCAGCACTGAGGTCTAATAGCATTAATATTGAAGTTTTGCCAGAGTCTGTGTTAAGACGGATGTCATTTATTACTTTAATAAGGGCCGTCTCGGTGCTATGAAGAGGTCGAAATCCTGACTGGAAGTTGTCGTGGCAGCCAGTTGAAGCCAGGAAGTGATTAAGTTGTTGTAGGACAACTTTCTCAATTATTTTACTTATGAAAGGTAAGTTTGAAATTGGTCTGTAGTTGTTGATAATAGAGGCATCTAGGCTCCGCTTTTTTAGGAGAGGTTTAATAACTGCAGTTTTGAAAGCTATTGGGAAATGGCCTGTCTGAATAGAGTTATTAACTATTTGCAATACGTCTGTTGCTAGGCAGTCAAAAACATTCTTAAAGAAGTTGGTAGGTAGAGCATCAAGACAGCAGGTGGATGGTTTTAAATTTGTCACCGTTTCCACTAGAGTTTGAGAGTCTATGGCATTAAAGCTTGTCATCATTGCTGTGTTACTTTTGCCTAAATAGGGTGGTGATCCAACATTTTTGTTTGAGATATTAATGGCGCGTCTGATGCCTTCAATTTTATCAGTATAAAAGAACGCAAACTCGTTGCATTTCTGTGTGGAATGGAGTTCAGGTGGTATTTGTGTCGGGGGGTTGGTCAGTCTGTCAACAGTTTCAAATAGGGTTTTTGCCTTATTAGTGTTGTTGTTGATGATGTTGGAGAAGAATGTTTCCCTAGCACTTTTTAAGTCTAAATTGTAGGCCCGGAGGCGCTCTTTATAGATGTCATGGTGAATGTGAAGTTTTGTATTCCGCCAGATTCGTTCAGCCTTCCTGCACTCTCTTCTCTGGGCTGTTACAACAGCAGCTTTTCTCCAGGGTGCCTTTTGCTTACTAGAACTGGTTTTAACCGTAACAGGTGCAATGTCATCTATAACATTCAAAATTTTGGAATTAAAGTTGTTTACAAGATTATCAGCATGACATGGGATTAGAGGTGGCAACGAGAAGATGACATTTTTAAAGAGTGCATTAGTATGTTCATTGATGTACCGTTTTTTGACAGTATTTGAATCTGATTGTGTGTCAGGAATGAAAGAAATATTAAAGTAATATTAGTCTATATTAAGAGTTTGATAGCAGCCCACATCTACTTCATTAAGGAAGTCGTACTACGGCGGCAGGAAGCTCAGGTTTTCAAGCAATTGGCATCCACACAACGTTATATTCTCTGCATGTTTTCTTGTTTCAGTGTGAAGGTCCAGGTGACAGGCAGGCTGCTGCATTACTCCATGAGGAATAGAAAACCTGCAGTGGGCTATTTAAGCACAAAGGTAATTAAAGGAACACCGTGTCTCAGATTAATCCCAGAGGTGCTGCTTATCAAGTTTTTAGTACTGCAATTACCTCTACAATTTATCTCATCATTATACAAGTGCAATTTTAAAAGTACATTAAACATTACACTAAAGTACACTTCAATCGTTAAATAATTTCGATAACTAAAATTTATAATTTCCTTCTATTTAAACATTTTTTTATTATTATTTATTTTAATAATGAACTTGGTGTACTGGAAATTAAGACCTCATGGTGGTGTTAGCTGAGACGATAATGTAAAATGTTTCATTCAAATTGATTTAATTGTTGTTGAGACATTAGGTCTAATAGTGCAGAGGTCTTCAACAGGGGGTCCGCAGAGGTACCGCACAGGGGTCGCGATATTTTGGGTTGATAAAACAATTTTTTTCCCCACAAATTTAAATGTCTTCAGAATTGTATTTATTGTCTTTAAATACACATTGACATGAATCCAACATATTGTAGCGAATGAATACATTGATGGAGCAGATGTTATCTTTCAGTCCGCAGCACACACATTCAGCTTCCCACAGGAGGAGCTGACCACCGGTTCACTCACAGCTCCTTTCATGCAAATACGACAGCACAGACCAAACTCTGTAGAATAGGGGGTCCCTGCTCCATCTCGCCATCAGTTTGGGGGACCTTGGCCTGAAAAACATTGAATACCACTGTATTAGTGGAACGATCACGACTCTTTGCTGTCCTTACTCCGAAATGGTGGAAGGAGCCTTTACATCTTGTAAGAATACGTGTTCAAGATTTGGAGCCTGGTCGGGGTTATCAAAAATTCAGCCGAACGACTTTTCTCGTTCTGGGAAATTTATTTGTCAGATCACAGGTCAAGTATCAGTGCTATCAGTGCTGCGTTTGCAAAGGCAGGAGCAGTTCAGACAGCACACAGGCCGGAAGAACAACTCACTAACATCAGCAAGAACATCATGTTTTATAACCCTTGAAAGACAGAGAAGGAAAGATTTCTATTGGCCCTAAACTGGCGTAGAGGAGGACCTTCCACCTCCTGCATCTAAAGATCCGGTCAGATCCAATGTCCAGACTCCTGACTTAACGTAAACATCAGCGAACAGAGTGTGTATGTTGAATAGTGTTGGTGCGTCTCTAACCCCCTTTGGCTGGCAAATCTGCTAGTTGACCCGCAGACCTTGCATTCCTCAGCCAGGACATAAACTGACTCCCCACCCTGTCAGACTCGTGCCTGCCTGCTTGGCACATCCTGCTTCCCCCCTTACCTAACTCTTAAATCAAGACAAGACAGCGAACCCCCAACTAAGCCCATGAAAAGAACTTTTGATTATCAAGCTCTATTGTCCCGCCTATTCATACAGAGGCCCGATGAAACTATACTTATGGATAGATAGATTTATACTTTATTAATCCCCAGGGTTAGGGTTAGGGTTAGGGGATATTTGTGTGTACCAGTAGATTAGATTAGATTAGATTCAACTTTATTGTCATTGCACAGGGTACAAGTACTGAGGCAACGAAATGCAATTTAACATCCAACCAGAGTGCAAAATAGCAAAAAGTGCAGAGTATGTGCATATGTAAAGTGTAATAAGTGAATAAATAGATATGTAAAGTAAGAAATAGTTGTGCAATATGAACAGTAAGAAATGGATATACAATAACAGTGCACATGTTCAGTGGCTGGAGGAAGGTGTGTGGCAGTCAAGCCAGGGTGGAGGGGGAAGTACAGTCACTGAGGGAGATGTGTGTGTGGGGGTGGGGGGCAGAGTTCAGAGTTATGGGGGGGCAGAGTTCAGTAGAATGACAGCCGCAGGGATGAAGCTGTTCCTGAACCTGCTGGTCCGGGAACGGAGCACCCTGTAGCGCCTCCCAGAGGGGAGGGGGGCAAACAGCCTGTGGCTGGGGTGAGAGCTGTCCTTTTCGATGCTGCGTGCCCTCCGCAGACATCTCTTCCTCTGGACGGCCTCAATGGTGGGGAGTGAGGAACCGGTGATGCGTTGGGCAGTTTTCACCATCCTCTGCAGTGATTTACGGTCCGCGACAGAGCAGCTGCCATACCATATTGAGATGCAGTTTGTAAGGATGCTCTCTATGGTACAGCGGTAGAAATTCTCTAGAATGTGAGGAGACAGATGGGCCTTCTTCAGAGACGCTGGTGTGCTTTCTTTACCAGGGATGAGGTGTTGAGGGTCCAAGAGAGGTCCTTAGAGATGTGGACACCCAGGAACTTGAAGCTGGCGACACGCTCAACCTCCATCCCGTTGATATGGATGGGGATGTGTGTGCCAGTTTTCTTCCGTAAGTCCACAATTAGATCTTTGGTCTTCTTGGTGTTGAGGGCCAGGTTGTTGTCGGCACACCATGCCGCCAGGTGCTGGACCTCCTCTCTGTAGGCCGACTCATCGTTGTCACTGATGAGGCCAATCATCGTTGTGTCGTCTGCAAACTTGACAATGGTATTAGAACCGTGTACAGGTGTGCAGTCATAGGTGAAGAAGGAGTAGAGGAGAGGACTTAGCACACAGCCCTGTGGCACACCAGTGTTCAGGATGAGGGTTGAGGAGGTGTGGTTCTCTACCCTAACAGACTGGGGTCTGTTGGATAGGAAGTCCAGTATCCAGTTACAGAGGGAAGTGTTGATACCCAGGTGACTGAGTTTCGTGATTAGTTTGGAGGGGATGACAGTATTGAAAGCTGAACTGAAGTCTATGAACAGCATCCTCACATAGCTGTTGTTATTGTCCAGGTGAGAAAGGGCGGAGTGGCCATGGAGATGGCATCCTCCGTACTCCTGTTCTTGCGGTAGACGAATTGGAAGGGGTCCAGTGTGGTGGTAAGCAGGTTTTGAGGTGAGCCAGGACCAGCCTCTCGAAGCACTAGCTGCCCAGCACAGGCCCTGAGCACGCGTCCGGGGACGCCATCAGGGCCAGCAGCCTTACGTCCATTAATCCTGCTCAGTGCAGTACACACGTCGGTGGAGGAGAGTGTGAGGGGCTGGTGGTCTGAAGTGAGCACAGCTTTGATGGTGGCCTCCTGGGTGTCCCTGTCGAAGCGTGCATAAAAGCTGTTAAGCTCGTCAGGGAAGGAGGCATCATTGTTTTAGGGGGGTGGTGTTGGTGGGTTTGTAGTCTGTTATGGCTTGGATGCCTTGCCACATGCGATAGCGGTCGGAGTTGTTCTTGAAGTGCTCCTCAATCCTTAGTTTGTGGCAGTGCTTGTGCTGCTTGATGCCCCTCTTCAGGTCAGCCTTGGATGAACTGTAGGCTTGAGCATCACCTGATCTGAAAGCGGTGTCTCGTGCCTTCAGCAGTAGGCGGACCTCTTTGTTCATCCATGGCTTCTGGTTGGGCAAGGTGATGATTCGTTTAAGTGTGGTGACACTGTCGATGTTGGTGTTTGTAGTGGCTATTTGTCCATAAACTTAAACAAAAACAAATAATAACAAACTTCTCAAATGGCCACTCGAGGCTACGTCATGGTTAGGCTTTACGCAGGTTCAGAGGTACCAAAGCAAAGTAATGTCCATAACAAGATTGAGTTTGAGGCGGTTTATTCACACACATAAGCAAGCTCACAGACATTTCTGCTGCCTCTCTCACGCTGATAAAAAACCATATGCCCTCGTCCCCGAAGTACCTCCCACCTTGACCTACTTATGCAAATGAACATAACACCATGTGACCAATAAACGACAATACAAGTAAAGCATAAATACAAAATACACCAAATTAACTTTAACAGGAAAAGAAAAAGAAATAAGTAAGGCTATAAATTAACTTAAACCCAAAATAAACAAAAATAAAAATATAGCTCCAACAACCCAGCCCCTAATTGTAACGGTACTTTACCCACAATTAACCTTAGCTTTAACACAAAGGAGCTATTTTCTAATTGTAGCTTAAGCATTAAACTGGAATCTTCACATCTTCGGATTCTCCATATCTGAAAGAAACAAACAGATGGAAGACAGAGATAGGAGAAAGAATGAGTTGTATAGTCAATTATTAGCCTCCAAGAGAAGACAGAGCTTGGTTATTGGTCTGTCCAGGACGCTGATCTTCGTTTGGACCTTCACAGAGCGAACCAGTCCTCGGGAGTCAGCTATGGCGCTTAGCACTCTGCCCATCATCCATGAGCCTCTTGGAGCTGTGGCATCAGCGATTACGACAATATCTCCTGGAATAAAGTTTCTCTTTTGCTTCGTCCATTTTTGCCTTTCTTGCATTACAAGCAAATACTCCGCTGTCCATCTTTTCCAGAAAAGCTCCGCAACGTACTGCACTTGCCTCCATCTCCTCTTAATGTACAGATCAGATTTCTCAAACAGACCTAATGGCAGAATGGGCTTGCCTTTTAACAGGAGAATGTGATTTGGAGTAAGCGCTTCTAAATCATTGGGATCTTCTGAAGCCTTAGTTATTGGCCGGTCATTGAGTATCGCCTCCACCTCGCAAAACAGCGTTTGCAGGCCTTCCTCGTCCAGCAGTTGATGTCCAATAACAGAGGTAAGTACACTGCGCACAGAGCGAATCAGACGCTCCCAAACGCCACCTTGGTGAGATGCAGCTGGGGTGTTAAAACTCCACGTCATTCCTTCCTGCACAAAAGTCCTTTCAATTTTAGAGTGATTTAAAGCGGCCAATGCCTGCCTCAGTTCCTTCTTCGCACCAACAAAATTTGTGCCATTATCTGACCTTATACTTGTCACAGGTCCCCTTCTGCAGATAAATCTTCGCACAGCATTAATGCAGGAGTCTGTGTCGAGGGAGTGTGCCACCTCAAGGTGTACTGCGCGGCTACTCATACAGGTAAATATCACTCCATATCGCTTCAGCACAGTTCTCCCTCTCCTCACCTCCAATGGTCCAAAATAGTCCACTCCCGCATTTGTAAAGGGTGCGTTATCAGGCACAACTCGTTCCTCCGGTAAGTCGGACATCTTCTGTTCTCCAAGCTTTCCTCTGTACCTTCTGCACACTGTACATTGTGAGAGAATCTTCCTGGCCGCAGAGTTGGCATTTATGATCCAATACTTCTGTCTCAATCTGTGCAGCATGTAATTGCGTCCAGCATGTCCAAGTTGGCAATGGATGTAACGCAATATGAGCTGGGAAACATGCAAATCCTTTGACAGAATCACAGGATGCTTTACCTCCCACGGCAGAACAGACTTAAACAGACGTCCACCAACTCTGAGGATGCCATCTTCGATGAAGGGGTCGAGGCGATACAGAGGACTGTCTTTAAAAACAGTCTTTGGGTCATGTTTTAGTGAGGAAATTTCAGTACTGAATCTTTGGTTTTGCGCAAACTGAATTATTGCCTTTTCGGCTTCCTCCAACCGCTCTGGTGTCAAGTTGGATTTTCCAAGTGCGGCTTTGAATTTTTTAATCTCCTTTTCCACATTCTCATTCTGGTTGACCACATATTCTTTTCTCTTTCGGCTCAAAAGTAAAAGTCTTTCTTTCAGCTCCAACAGCCAGGCCACTGATGTTTTAAGCTTTCTCCAGGATGAAAAATAGTGAATGAGCTGACTGAGGGGATTGTCACTGTGTATTGTAACAGCATTCACCTTAAGTTCCCTTTTCACCTCTGCATCATCCGATGGAATGGAAGAGGCGTCCAAGTCGAGTTTCGGCCATCTGGTGGGGGGCAAGTGCAAAAAGTCCGGTCCTTTTAGCCATTTTCCTTTTCCAAACTCCTGAGCTCTTAGTCCTCGAGAAGCTTCATCTGCAGGATTGTCTTTGGTGTTTACATACCCTGTATACCACTGATCTTTGTCTGTGGATTCTCTTATGGTGCTGACACGATTGGCAACATATGTGTGAAAGCGCTTTGTTTCATTAAAGATGTACTTGAGAACAGTAATGCTATCGGTCCAAAAGAATGACCTTTGCGATGGCAACTGTAGCTCTTTCAACAGCATTGTGTTCACTCGAACAGCAAGCACAGCTGCAGCAAGCTCAAGGCGTGGAATGGTTAGTTGCTTTAGAGGAGCGACACGAGCTTTGCCTGTGATAAATGAAACATGCACATTGTTAGTGCTCTCCAATCTCAAGTATGAAACAGTGCCATATCCTATTTGACTAGCATCTGAAAAATGATGCAGTTCTGCTTTCAATTGTGTTCCAAAGTTTTGGGTTTAATGCACCGTTCCACTTTAAATCCACTCATATGTTGAAGTTCAGAGAGCCACTCAGACCAATGTTCAGAGACATCACAGGGAACTGGCTCATCCCATTTGAAGTTCATTCTGCACAGCTCCTGTAACAGTAACTTGGCAGGGATTATGAAAGGAGACAAAAAAACCAGCGGGTCGTAAAGAGAGCTCACCACAGAAAGGATGCCCCTCCTAGTGTGTGGACGTTCCTGCACTGCAGTCCTGAAGCTGAACGTATCTCCTTGAACACACCATTGCATCCCCAGAGCTCTTTCCACAGGGAGTTGGTCCCTGTCGAAATCCATGTTCTCCAAACCCACTGCTCTGATGTTGCTAGGAATAAGTGCAAACACATTTGAGTTATTTGTGACCCACTTTTGGAGATGGAAGCCACCTTTTTTACAGAGAGATGTTAATCCATGTATGAGCTTCACTGCATCTTCCTCTGTCACAGTGGACTTAAGACAGTCGTCCACGTAGAAATTTGTCTTGACTGTACGAAGGACATCGGGTGAATATTGCAGTGCATTATCCTCAGCAGTTCTCCTCAGTGCATAGTTTGAGCAGCTTGGAGAGGATACAGCTCCAAACAAATGCACGCACATCCTGTATTCCTCTGGCTCCGCTGTAGCGTCTCCATTGGGCCACCATAGAAAGCGCAAGAAGTTAACGTGCTTATATGGCACCCGGACCTGATGGAACATGGCGTTGATATCAGCCATAACAGCGATGGGCTCTTCTCTAAACCGAAGAAGGACACCAATTAGCGTGTTAGTGAAGTCTGGGCCCTGCAAGAGCTGACTGTTCAATGATGTACCTTTGTAGGTACAGCCGCAATCAAACACAACACGCAACTTTCCTTTGGTTGGATGATGTACACCATGGTGGGGAATGTACCACACCTTTCCTTGTTCCAGAGTGGGCTCATTTGTGGGAACCTTTTCTGCATATCCTTGCTCTAACATGTTGTTAAGGAAATCAACGTATTGAGCCTTGAATGAACTATTTCTATTAAATCTCCTCTTCAGGCTTTGGAGTCTTTGTAGTGCAATGCAGCGATTATTTGGCAAAACAGGATCGTCAATTCTGAAAGGTAAGTCAATGTAATAATGTTCATTGTTAAGCACTGTCGTACTCTCCACAATTTTCATGAATTTAATGTCTTCTCTTGACATCTCAAGTTGTTCATCACTTGTTCTTTCAGTAAAGTCATGATTATACTGTTGCATCAACATACTTTCCAAGTGTTCCACAGATATGTGATTAGCAGTTACAACCATGCATCCTGATTTGACACCAGTACCTTCAGAGTTTCCAGCACGAAGAGGCCCGTTTATGACCCAGCCAACTCTGGTCCTCACTGCATACGGTCCACCACATTGACTATTTATCAGTTCCCATGGCTCCAAAACTTTAGGCGAGTCGGTTCCAATGAGCAAGTCTACATCTGCATCTACTTCATGTAGCCTAATGCTGCTCAAATACGCCCATTTGGCAACATCATCCTGACATGGCACATTGATTTTAGATACAGGCATTTTTGTTTGTGTCAGAACAGATGGTAGCTCAATAAAGTCATCGGTGTCAAATCCAGACACCTCCAGACCAGTTACTATAGTAGTGCTAATGGTTTTAGTCTGCCCCATTGTCCTCAACACTATATTACAGTTTTTTCCTGATACTCCCAGCCTTTCAGCCATACTTGTAGTACAGAAAGTCCCAGAGCTCCCAGGATCCAGGAAAGCATAAGTATGCACAACTTTATTACTTTTCCGACTTTTCACCTGCACAGCCACAATGGAAAAAACTGCAATATCCTCTTCACCAGCCCCAATATGACCACACGTCTGCTGCTTCCCGGATACAGTGCTCACAGTTTCTTTGGAGGTTATCCTTGTAGTATCCTCCTTCTCCACATGCAGGACAGATGGATGTTTCCTGTGACACACTTCACAATCCAACCGACCCCTACAGTCTTTGCTCGTGTGTCCATGTTTCAAGCACCCAAAACAAACGCCCTTCTCCTTTAGAAACTGAATCTTGTCCTGTTGTGTCTTTCTTCTAAACTGAAAGCATTTTTCCAGAGTATGATTGGTAAGATAGCAGAACATACATTTGAGCTGGTTACTGTGAGCTGTCAAGTTTTCCATTTCTTTATGTCCATCCTTTGGTGCATTAATGCTGGTGGCAAATGTACCACCTTTCCTTTTCTGCTTAACTTGCATGGATAGCTTTGTATAGCTGGCTGGAGAAACATCATTAATATTTCCAAACAGAGGATCTGAAACAATTTTGACTTGTTTTTCAATGAAATTCACAAAATCAACATACACTGCTCTGCTTCCAGTTTGCTCCAGTATGTCACATGCCACATTTCTCCACTTTTCCCTCAGCTTGTATGGGAGTTTCATTAGGATTGTCCTGAGGTTAGCTGGCATGTCCAACTCCTTCATGTACTTTATATGATGTACTATGTTGGAGCAACCTCGAAGGAACAAAGCGAATGACTGCAGAGCGTTAACATCCTCAGGTTTTATTGAGGGCCAGTTGTTGATTTTGTCCATGTAAGCAGAAGAGATTTTATGTTCACTGCCAAAATGTTCAATCAAAAGCGCTTTTGCTCTTTGATAACCTGGTTCAGAGGGCATATGCTGACAACTTCTTACAATGTCTCTTGGTTGCCCCCTAGTGTACTGTTCTAGGAAGTACAGACAATCACTGAAATTTTGAGTTTTATCCTCAATGCAATTTTCAAAGGCTCTGAGAAAAGATTTGAAATACAGGGGATCACCATCAAATACAGGTATATTTCTCATAGGCAGAGCAGAGGCTGTGTTTTGTTGGACCAACAGCGCAGTTATTTCATTTTGACGCTGCATGATATTCAAAATGTCTGGAGAATTGGTGGGTTGATTATCGTCACAAACATCTTGCGAACCAAGTGATTGTGTACCTTGCCTTTGAAACACAGAAATGACATTAGGTATGGGTATTTGTTTTACAACATGTTTGGGTTGAACACCAACAGGGACGGAATTTAACAAGCGACTGGAGGTAGGTTCAGAGCTTTTATTGGTGGGCACATAGCGTTCAGCATTCGGATTTAGTTCATATGTCCCTTGAATTTCTGACCTTTTCAAGTAAGAGTTCATGCCATCTGATGTTTGAGATGCACATCTTGACACTTTAGAGCCACACTTTGAGCTTACTTGCAGAACCTCCAATTTTGCATTTGTCACCTTTAATTCTGCCTCCAGAGCAAGTTGTTCCTTTTCTCTCCTTAAATGTTCCCGTTTCTTCCGTAATTCCTCTTGTTCAAGTCTTATTTGTTCCTCCTGCCCCTCCAAAGTGTGCTTTTGTTTTAGAGCAGCCATGCGCTCCTGTAATGCTGCTCTCTCTGCTTGCGCTAATATTTTTGCAGATGCACTGGATGAAATCCTTGACAATTTAGAGCCAGCCTTTGAACGCGCTGCAGAACCTTTATTGGATACACTGTCCTCAGGCCCAATATCAGTTTGATTATCAGGTGGTTTAATTGGAAGTTCATATGAATGGCCTGTATTTGATAACCAGCCTTTGACGTCATCAATAAAGCTTGAAAAACACTTCTCCTTTTGTTCAAAATATTTATCTTGTTTCTCCTTCTCATCCTGAGGTATGTCCAGTGACACAAATGATAAATGATGTTGTTTTGCCTCATCAACACATATTATTATTTGATCCAAAAGAGACTTGACTGCATCAATATTGTCTGCAGAATGCATCAACTTATCCATCTGATTCATGTACGATTTGGCTCGTTTGCATTGCATCGATCTCTTTTCCTGACACGTTTGCATAAAAAACATCATTCCTTTAGCAGTAAAACTTGTGCGTCTTCTTGTAGGAAGCGCCGTGTCGCTTTTGGCTTTAGATGCAACGTCAGACATTTTACCCTTTGTTGATGCCGGTCATGTACACACACAGTTGTTTGCAAAGATTGAATACAGCACATACCTTGTGGAACTTTGTTTGTTGCGGTGGTTGCCTTTGTACACGGAGTTGAATGCACGCAGTAGCTGTTGTTGCGCGCGGCCGTGCGCGTTACCTGTGAAGGCTTTGGGCCTTTGCGAATTCAAATTGCAGCAAATAATATCCTCCACTCCGTAGTGCAGCTCCAGCGCTCCAGTAGCTTCACCGTTATCCAGTACGGTGTCCAGGGAAACTTTAAACTGTCGGATGGGTCGTATTATTCGATGTTTGCACTGTATCCAGCCCACACCTCCGTCACTCCTAGGCCCTTTCCTTTGTTTGTCTCCCGCATCCAGGTGAGTAATCCACTTTCGAAACGGTAATCCAGCAAACGACAAGTCCAGTATCCACGTAAACCAACGATATATCCAGGGCGGGTTTTTTACTTAATGTAGTGGCTATTTGTCCATAAACTTAAACAAAAACAAATAATAACAAACTTCTCAAATGGCCACTCGAGGCTACGTCATGGTTAGGCTTTACGCAGGTTCAGAGGTACCAAAGCAAAGTAATGTCCATAACAAGATTGAGTTTGAGGCGGTTTATTCACACACATAAGCAAGCTCACAGACATTTCTGCTGCCTCTCTCACGCTGATAAAAAACCATATGCCCTCGTCCCCGAAGTACCTCCCACCTTGACCTACTTATGCAAATGAACATAACACCATGTGACCAATAAACGACAATACAAGTAAAGCATAAATACAAAATACACCAAATTAACTTTAACAGGAAAAGAAAAAGAAATAAGTAAGGCTATAAATTAACTTAAACCCAAAATAAACAAAAATAAAAATATAGCTCCAACAGTGTTGATGAAGTCCAGAACGGAAGAGGGATAGGAATCAATGTCCGTGTGGGAGTCCAGTGTGGCCTGAGTGGCAAACACACTCCAGTCTGTGTGCTTCTGTAGGGCAGACTCTGCCGCTCCCTCTGGCCGTACTTTAACTGTCCTCACTGTGGGTTTCACACGTTTGATGAGTGGTGTGTATTTCGGGAGAAGAAACAAGGAGAGGTGGTCAGACTGTCCTAGGTGGGGGAGGGGGCTGCCTTGTAGGCATCGGCGATGTTGGTATAGACCTTGTCCAAAGGCTTGTCTCCTCTCGTGGGGCAGGAGACATGTTGGTAGAATTTGGGTACAGTTTGAGTACAGTCTTCAGGTTGGAGTGGTTAAAGTCACCCGCAACAATGAAGGCTGCCTCCGGATGTAAAGTCTGTTGCTAATGGCAGTATGCAGTTCTTTCATTGCCAGTTTAGCATTAGCATCCAGGGGGATATAAGCTGCAGTCACAACAGTAGATGTAAACTCCCTGGGCAGATAGAACGGTCTACACCTAACCATGAGATACTCAAGGTTAGAAGAGCAGTAGCAGTAGTAATTATAATTAAAATGCACAATGTATACACAATACAAAAAATAGCAGAGCCGGACATTCACAAATTTGAGAATTAAATAGAAAAAAGAAAGTACAGCACACAAGTATATACAGTGTATGTGAATATAAAATACAATTAAAACAGTAGTGCTGCGGTATTAAATTAAGAGAGTTCAATTAAACAAGGACTTAGCCGGGGGTGATGTTGTATAGTCTTATTGCAGTTGACAGGAATGTTTTCCGGTGTCTGTCCTTGTGACAGGACAGCTGGATCATCCTGTTGGAGAAGGTGCTCCGCTGTCCCTGCAGTAGGTGGTGAAGAGCGTGGTCCTTGTTATCCAATGTAGGCAATAGTTTTTTCAGTGTCCTCTCCACCACTGGTTCTAAATGCAGCCAATGATCACTAGCTTCTTGAGTGTGTTGGTGTCACCAGCTCCAAGAAAACGAGTTGACTCATCCCCTTCTTGTACACAGCCTTGATGTTGGCCTTTCAGTTCAGTCTGTTGTCGATGGAGACACCCAGGTCCACCACCATCTCTCTGGTCTTGGTCATGTTGAGAGTCAGGTGATTTCTACCGGCCCACTTCACAAAGTCCTGCACTACTGCTCTATACTCCTCCCCTCTGTTCCTTATACGCCCGACCAGATGTACCAGAAGTTAGTGACCAGGAAGGGAGACAGGACAGTTCCCTGTGGGGTTCCAGTATCACTGACCACCACATCAGACAGCACACGGCCCTGTTGGACAAACTGTGGTCTGCCCGTGAGGTAGTCAGTGATCCAGGAGACGGTGGACGCATTAACCAACACCACCCGCAGCTTCTCACTCAACAGGAGTGGTTGGATGGTGTTGAATGCACTGGAGAAGTGCGAGAAGTGGAGAAGAAATTCTGACGGCGCCTGCGGTTCCATCTAGATGTGACTGGGATGCAGCAGGTAGATGATGGCGTCACCCACCCCCACATTAGCCTGGTAAGCAAATTGCAAAGGTTTCCAGTGATGATTTCACCTGCGGTCAAAGGTGGGCCAAGACCCACCCTCTCCAGCACCTTCATCACATGGGATGTGAGGGCGACTGGTCAGTAGTCATTGAGGCCAGGCAGAGTTGTCTTCTTTGGTACTGAGACCAGGCACAACGTCTTCCACAGCACCCGGACTTCCTCCTGCTTCAGACTCAGGTTGAGTTGAGTAAACTATGAAGATGTGACCATATGTGTGCATATATGACATATAGTACGCCATTTTGAGTCTGTAAGGAGCAGGAATAGCTCAACCCTAATCAATCCAAATTTCATTCAGAAAAAAAGCATTTTCAAAGTTGTGTACAGTTGTTGCATGATTTGTGTATAGAACTGTGTATGATTTGAATTATAATTATAATTTTGTACTTGTTTGTGCCCTTAGTGAGGTTGACATACAGTATAATGGTTTGCCATCTTATGGCCACCTAGCAGTGTTACTGGGACAGTCATACAAACTTCTGCTGGAAATTCTCTTGGCACAATAACCAAGAGAGATACAAAAAATTATTTCATTTTTTTTAATTTGATGTCATAGGTTGATGAGGTACAACCCTGTATTCAAAAAGTTGTTTTAGCTCATTAAAACTAGTAGTCCGACACACATGGCATGGCCTGTGTGGGATTTTCCATGGCTCATTTCCTTGTTATGATTGATTGTATTTCTAACTTATAAACAAACAAATAGACAAAGTGTCTTTTATTTCTTATGGTTCAAAAATGAATATATAAAAGTGAAATACATCTTTATGTGCCCAGAAACAAAGAAATATGTTCGGAATAAATACATTAGTACAAAGTGATATATGCAAGTAAATATATTCAGTCAAATGTGGGCAACTGTGGGTGAGTGGAGTCGTCCTCCAATCAGAGGATTGGCGGTTCAATCCCAGGCCCCTGCTAACCCATGTGTCCTTGGGTAAGACACTTAACACTGAATGCTAGTTACTGATGGTGGGACTGTGTATGGTAGCACCTGTCATCAGTGTGTGAATGGGTGAATGATGACATGAAGTTTTAAAGTGCTTTGAGTGGTCAGAAGACTAGAAAAGCTCTGTACAAGTACGGTCCATTTACCATGTGAATTTGTTCTCAAACAAAAAATGCATAAATAATAAGTCCTGGGTTAAACGGCTAAATAAATGAATAAAGACATATCAAAATATCAACATTCATAATAGAATTAGCCTTACTCAAACAAATGTATTGAACAATGCAATAAACATAGACAGAGACACATTCAGACACACTTATAACAACATACGTTAAAACAAAGGCACTTATAAATTATGGGACAATAAATAAGGGATATAAGGAAGGATTTAGTTGGGGTTGGTAAGAAGTTGCCTTACTCAGCAATAGTTGTAAAAGCATTATGTAAAGATTATTCCTTAATACAGCACAATGTCATAAATACATGTAAAAGCAATGAAAGCCGTGGGCTGGATGTTGTAATTATGGCATCACTTCAGGTCAAAGGTCAAGAGGCCGCTCTTAAAATAGATTTCATCAGCAGCAGTTTCTGGTTTCAGTACTTGGTTTTTGTTCGGCAGCATATTTACCAGGTGCCGTCAGCCTCTCGGCGCTCAAGTGCTCGGGTGTGTGTGTGTCTGTGTAGAAAATTCCTCGGCCACCCTCAGTACGAGACCGCTCTCATACCTACCTGCTGCAGGCTCCTTTCACTTAGGAAACAGGAAGTATACAAACTAAACGGCCTTTCCATTTCCTCATGCTGGTTTTTCCCACCTGGGCACTCCATAAATAGCAGACAGGTGAGGATGGATGCTGGTAAAAGAAAGAATAGTCAGCCAGAAGAGAGGGACAGAGGATGGACATAAAGCAGGTGAGAGGGACACACAGGACAGAGCTCATATTGGCTGCATCCACTGCAGCTGTCTGTCTGTCTGACTGTCTTTCTGCCTGGTCAGGCAGCGGAGAGGAAGCTGAGGAGCCCCTACCCACAGCCTCACGAGTTCCCGACTGCGGCGTTGTCCAACTCTTTGGCCTCTTGCCCCGTGTCGCTTTTCCCGCAGCAGCCGCCTCAGCACGTCCGAGACAGGTCCCTGTCACCATGGAGATACGTGTGAGTATCATCCTGACGCAGCTTGCATGTATTTAATTTCAAACTGATTTTAGACGCAGAACATGTATGACGCCAGTTAACTGCTCAGTTAGGTTCCAGCTGGAAACAAAGACCCGATGGAGACAATTTGAGAATAGAAATAGAAGCATATTTGTTGCAGTGATCTGAAGATCTTTTTATCCTGCCGCTGGGATTGATTTTCCTTTATGATGGAATTGTAGTTAAACCCGAAAAGCTCACTGAGCTCTTTAGATAGACATTCATACTGTAGCTCCATCAGGAGGAGTCACAGTTCAAGATCGGCTGCGGAATGTTGTGAGGGCAACCAAGATATCAAATCATGTCAGGTTAAAATAAGGAGAACCCATTTGTTAGCATGGGATAGAAATATGCAGCCATAAAACGTAGGCAACATTTATGTAAATATTTAACAACAAATGGCAAGTTCCTCTGGAAGTGGAATTCACATTTGCACAATATTTGCGCATCCCCGTGACCTGTTAGTGCGCATGCCGTGGCACACCCTGCACCGCTTGGTGCGTGAGAAGGAAAAGTCCCCTCTTCATACAATACTGCTTTGCTGCCACATATCCACTGGGAATGAGGTAAATGACGTCACCGAGCAAACTGTGCAGTAATCCCTGGCACCGTATCAACAGGCTGTTTGTCGGAGACTGGGAATTTTTCCTCTAGTTTCCGAAGCTTCTTCTGTTTTCATTCTAAGCAGATCACTGATCAGCTTGGTATTGTTATATATCAAGCTGATCAGATATATATCAAACCAAGTGATCCGAGTGTTTCTCCACTGTGCGTGGTGTGTGTTTCAATCGAAGACAAAGCAGTTGTGTTTTATTCAATGTGACCCAGAAAGCAAACCAGCCGACCGGTTCACCCATTATAAAATATAGACTACACCACTGAAGCAAACCGTACGCTACATCTTAAACGTTCGCATTAAAGTATGTTTCACTCTTGGCTGAGGCCATGACGAGATGTCCACTTCAAAAGAAAAATGTGCACGTTTATGTCACGTTTAATCACAGTTGTCAAACTAGATCTCGAAAAAAACTTTACCGTTAATGTATATTTACTGTTGGTGTAGGAAAAGAAGTTACATTGCTAGCTACAAGAAGCTAGCATTGAAATGAAATGCAGTTTTATGAAAGCATAATGGATGTTTCGGGAAAAGCGAATCACCAACTCATCTCATTCGTTTCCAGGCGTGTCACAAAGGAGGATCACTTTCCTTCCAGCTACTCCGAGGCTCAGTGCTTGTGTTCCGGGTGCGTCCTGATCCAGAACAACAAGCATCCGGTGGAGAGCCACGACTACAACTCGCACCCTGTGACGCAGAGCAGGGTGTTCCTCAAGAGGGAGCTGTGCGACGACGGGAGGAGGTACTACCTGAAGCCGGTCACTGTCAAAGTAGCTGTGGGTTGCACCTGCACCCGAGCCAAGAGCTACAACTAACCAGCTCTACCATTCATGTTGTGTTTGTTCTAAAATGCACCAAGTCCCCTGAAAAGTCTGAACTAGGGGTGTCGGCTCTGATCAATTCATTATATATTAATGTATATATATATATATATATATATATATATACATATATATATATATATATATATATATGTAGAGCCAAAATCACAAATTGCAAATGCATCAGAGGGCTTTAAAGTCGGTACACACGCGACATCCCCTGTCCAGAAACCCTCACATCTACAGGAAAGACTGAACAGACTGCAATGGATGTCATGTGTACAGAATGAACAACGTAAAAGATGTACAATACATTCAATCCCTATAACAGAAATTATTCTAATATTACGAATAGTGAGCCAGGTGTACGCCAAGACCACTGCAGAGACAACCACCCCCAGATATAATCACCATCAGATATAACTACCGTAAGATAACTCCATGATTCTGGATTCCAGGGCAATGGCAGAAACTATATCATCAAGTGACTGAGTTTAACATCAGGAAGTTGCTGGTCCTCAACGTTTTGATCTCCTTAAAACATCTTCATGTCTTACTCATCTGTCTTGATAGGTACAATTGAATTGATTCAATTGATTAGTGAGCAGACATTGGACAGCTGAGGGAATTTTGGTGCAGCATGCTCGCTAATAGAGGTTTGACACAGCCGACACCCCTGGAATTATTTCACCAGTCATCTTTTTATTGGCCTTTTTATTTTCATAATGGATGACATGATACATTTAGAAAAGGTTTGCAGAATTTGTTTACAGCTCTGCCTAGTGCAGTGTTTTTCAACCTTTTTTGCGTCAAGGCACACTTAAGACACAGAAGAAATCGGAAATGATATGAAAATCAATCCCAAACATAGTTTCAGCATGAGCATAATATACTCTAAGAAATCAGGGAAACGCGTGTTCTATTTGTTGTGTTTTATTAAACTTAACATCATCCTAATGCCAAGATGGCACAGGCTTTATGCCCAGGTATCTCTTAAGCCTAGTTTATGCTTCTGCGTTTTCGGAGCGACGCAGACGCAAGCCCCCCTTGCGTGTCCCTTGCGTCGCTTTTCACACCTCCTTGCGTCCTTGCGTGCGTCGAAAGCGACGCAAGCCTCCCGCAGCGCACCAGGCTGCGATTGGTCCGCTAACTACGTCCTTTACGGAGTCTTACATTTCCGCTTTCGTAGCCCGATACCGCCATTATTAAAACGAAGAATGTTTACCAGAGAACGGAGTAGATTTAAGAACTTTTGTCGGAAGAAATGCGTAAATATGACCGCTTATACAAGCCGTCATTGGCGGGTTGTAGAAGCGGGTTGGATTCATGGAGGGAGATCGCCGCAAACGCTGGTCGAGAGGAACAAAGTTGTGGAGGAAAATACGGGACATATGTGTCCGCGATGAAAAGCAACAGTGTCGATGCATGGGGCAATAAAGTATATGATAAATAAACAAACAAATAAATAAATAGACGTGACTCTCTAGGTCGTCTTCAACAAAACACGTCACTCCGCCTGTTGTTCTGGCGGTGAATTGCTCTGCAACACACGCAGAACCATGAATTGAAACGAGTGCGTCGACGCAACGACGCAGACGCAAACGCAGAAGCATGCGCCGGCCTTAAATATCACTTTTTTAAATTGTCGCCTCAGCAAATCTGCCTATTAATTAGGCTGCGTATCGCCACCGACAGGCAGAGGGGAGTATTGAGCCTTCATACCACCAACAGCGTGACGACACACACACACGAACACAAGTTGGCTCTTTTTTTTTCACCAATGAAGTGACAGTATGTAAAAAATGTTTTTTTTTCACGGAACACCTGACAGCCTGAAAAACACTGACTTACAGGACCTGTTTTTCAGTAGCTTCCATACATTAACCTACAAAATATGTAGATACGAATTTGTATATATGTAGATATATACAAATTCGTAGTGATACGTACGAAATAAATACGGACTGCAACTGATGATGTCACCCTATTCAAAGTGAAAGGGGACCTGCGCCCCGTAAACACACTTTGTGAAGTCTAACGATGTAAAATAAACGTGTTATGATTGTAAATCAATGTTAAATTGTAAGAATAGAATACTAACCCTAACCCCCTCAAAAAATCCAACATGGCGGAGAGACGTTCACTCAAGAATCAAACATGGTCCGCCATGTTGTTCACTCAAGGGGCCTGGTTAACCACCGCCAGTTCGTATGTATTGTTACGAATTTGTATGTTCAAGATTTTCGTATACATTTTTACGAACAGGTTTTGGAGATTACGTTGGGTATAGGGAGGGTGTGCTGTGCAGCACAAGGTTGGCGGTTCGAATCCTGGCTGCTCCCTGTGCTAAGTTGAAGTGTCACTGAGCAAGACACCTAACCCCCAATTACTCCACATAAAATTATATCAAACCATGGGCGTGTTGGATAAAAGTGACAGCTGCATGTATAGTAATGTCCTGTAAGTCAAAGTCATCTCATTATGATGACTTACAGGACCTGTTTTTCAGTGGCTGATGTGGGCTCCATACATTAACCGACAACAGATGTAGATGGATTGTGATTCACTGCACTTGTATGTGTATTTCCACCACTTCATGAAATATATGTAACATGCAGTTGAATTACGGTAGTCTGCTATTATTGTAAATTGACAGCTTTAACTGTTTATTCATGACATTGGCCGTTAATTTACAAACAAGGGATGGAAATTTAACTGTATGTTGCAGTTATTATGACATACTGTAAGATACTGTTAGAAATGCACCGTAAATTTACAGCAATTTGTTACAGTGTGGCTGTGGTCGCCTCTGTTGTGTTCAAAAAATGAAGAAACGCCGGACGGACAGAGGTCATCGCAGATCAAAAGGTTAAATCAAATGTATTTAATAAAAGAGATGTTGTGAGGTGTTGTGGTAAAAAGAACATCTCAGCTGAGGAGCCGCTGGTCTCAGCCACCAACAGGCCCCAGGTCAGTCCTTTTGACCATCCCTAGTGCCCGCTTGTCGCCTCCATCAGTAAACTCGAGAACAATGGTTCCTACAGGTATTTATAACAATGCTTAAAGGTGTGAAAGTCAGTGTCCACACCTCTGGGAGTGGTCTTCTGGTGAGTTCAATGTAACTCAGATTTCGAATGATCCTTAGTCAATATCAGTTGTTGTTCAAGTATTACATACATGCATTCCAGTTGATTACATTACATCAAATACAATCATAACTACATTGGTATTATTCTATTACAGTTGCAGAATTACAGTGGTTTTACAACATTGTCATTACTTTATTGATTACACAGTTTCAGAATCATGGCTGTATTCTGGTGTACACTATATGCATTTTTATTAATTTTATGAACCGGATCGTCAATTTGTTTCTAATATCCTACAATCCATCCCTGTACACAAATTTTGGTGTAAAAACCAATCAGAGGGATCGGTTTATCAAATTCCTCAGTTTTGTCAGATGTGTAGTCTCTATTTGTTTAGCATAACGTTCGATCCAATATGACACGCTCAATCTTACACATTCTAATCATAAGATGTGCATCTGGACACCACTTGTTGGCACACAACAAAAACTCCCTCGAAAACCCTTTTGGGAATAAAACGAGGAAGAAATCTGTCGGAGAGATTGAAAGATCTTCTCCCAGGATTTAACATTTCATCACGGATGTCATGTGTACAATGTAAATTGACACAGGACACATTAATTTAATAAACCTTATGGCAACATGGGGCTGGTCGTCTTGGATGACTAATGATAAGAGTCCTAATGTAGAGGATGACATGTTGAATGCTGGCCATAATGGAGACTGTTATCACAGAAATAAATAATTGTTTGTATTTACTAAATCATGAGTCCAATAAACCTGAGAAGCGGTTGTCCATGTCACTGTTCTCTGCTGGTTCTTCAGTGAGAGCTTTCAGCAGTGGTTCACCTCCAGTTGTGCGTGCAGGTGTTTTCTCGATCATTCTCAAGATCTCTTATGCTAAATGGTTGTTGTTGTCCATGGGGCAGTGTTTGTAGAGGGGCTTGGAAACTTGGAAGTGTCTATACTGGAAATCGATGGCTCTGATGTGACCCAATGGGTCTGAGGTTATGCCTGTGCTGGGCTGTCGTTGTCCCCCATTAGTGTGAGGTGGTCTTGGAACTGTGTTGTCCCTCAAAAGGGAGACCGGAAGGTTGCTTGGACCCTTTCTGAATCGGTCCTAGTCTTGCTTCTGGTCGCCTAGAACGATGCTTGTCTTGCTTCTGGTCCGGCTCTGCGGTGCTGGTTCTGCTGTGGTCGGTCCTGATGCTTCCTCCTGGTCCTGCACGGTGGTCAAGCAGACTCTGGGCTGAGGAAGTCCTTCCTCTCAGCGAGATGATGGTTGTTTGGTCACTGCTCACGGTCCCTTTGGCGCCGCTCAGGTTGTTGACAGGTGGTCTCTCCTCTTGTGTGTCATCCCTCTCTGCTCCAGCAGGGCTAGAGGTGCGTCTTCTAGATCTTGTGTGTGACTTGAAACTAATTAGACACCCCCCAGGTATTCCCATAGCTTCCATTCTACTGATGTGGCTTTTAGGTTAATGTAGTTTATCAATTATTGGGGATGCATTCCTGTCTGTTGTTCACTGTGTCTATAGTTATGTTTTGTTTAATCGGGACAATACTGTTATCTTAATAAAGTACAACTCAACGGAAAGGTGAATCTCTTTCACCGTCCGACCAGATGTTCAATGTGAATATGTCTATTTACTGTATAGTTCTATATCAGGGAAATATTTGGACATTTTAAATCAAGAACCTTGATCTCTTGTTCTCACAATAATATCAACCGTGTGGATTTGCTTGTATATCTCAGTCATTTTAGCATGGATTTAAATAAGGGGTTTCTGTCCCTTTTCTTAATCTGAAGGTTGTGTGGTAATAACTTGTGCAAAAACTAGAGTGTTTGTGGGATTATGGTTGAGTGTATACATCCTCTTGTTATCAAAGGCTTGGTCAGGCGACGCGTAGTGGTCGTCATTGACGTGTGATTGAGATCCACTCTCTTCTTGATCCTGAGAATCTCGCAGGTCCTGTGACCAGACTGATCGGGGGATCCGAGGTGTTGGAAGACCAGGATTCCCTGGTCTGCTGTTGAATAGAGAAGCACAATGGGGTGCCTGTGTGTGTGTGTGTGTGTGTGTGTGTGTGTGTGTGTGTGTGTGTGTGTGTGCTCTTCCCAGGTGTTCCTCCTCCGGTATCTAAATCTTTCTTTTAGTAATTTCTTTTGTTAAGTTTTCCCATCGTTCAATTTGGAAAAATATTTCTATATCTACATCCCTCCTGTTGAGGCATGTGTTATTTCAACACATGTCTCAGGTCAGCTTCAGACTTCTTTGTATTGTCTCAAAGTTCGACGCTGGCTGGCGAGCTCTTCCTTTAAATTGAAAAACAGAAATTAAGAAAACGACAGTCCCTATGCAGTGATAGGGAAAAATGATTAAAGCATGATACACAGAATATTTGCATTCAAACAGTGTGTGTGGTTTTCGAATTCTGATCCGGGACTCTAAGATCATCTTACTCTCAACAGAACCCCTGTAAAAATAGTTATGCTTATCCCGTTTGTTGTTGTATTGGGAGACCTGCTAAGTCCCTCCTGTTGGTCAGCTGTCTGCACCCTTTGACCTCTGCATCTTACCAATCCGTTCGCTGCTTTCTCCTTTTCTCCTTGCAGCCTTTCTGGGCTCCAGGATGTGTGTGATGCAGTTTACCATTGCCTTGTGACTTTCCATCACAATTGGTCTTTCATTTGCATTCTCAGTCGTCAGGGCAGCTTACTTGCGTTCTCTACCTGTGAACTCAAAACTCAACTCATGGTTTGTTAGTGACCTAGAACATTCATTTATTCCTAATGAAAATGATATCAATATATCATATGTAGTTACATGTGTGTATGGTTTGTTGATAAAATCATTACAGGATGATGGTCAGTAACAAAGTTTTCCATTCTGTACTGCCTTTTACTAATGTTATCCTATGATCTAAAATTTGCTTCCGTCATTAAGATGCTGTATGAGATGTACCGTGCACTGTACATCTCATATCCACACTCAACAACTTGCAGCCTAAGTTTAAGAGAAAATAACAAATTATTTCCAACAAGGTCTATAGATTTGGCTCAAATCACATTATTTCCCACTAATTTAAACGTCTCCCTCTGTGCTAACTATTTACATATATTCACCCACTGGACTGTTGACCGTCTCTACGTCCCTATGGGTCGCACCTCTCTCGGAACGACTCCCTTTTGTCTTACCAGACCGGCTCCACAGACAGCGTCCTGTCCTTTGTCTCTTGCCCAAGACCCAAGGGTGTGTGTGCTAATGTGCATGTTAATGTGCACCTTCAGGTGTGCTGCTGCTGTGTGTGTCTGTGTGTGATGTGTTGCAGACTCTGATTAGAGTCTCTCTTAAACTCAGTAATTTGTAAAAATGTTTAAACAATAAATGGGAAAATTGTGTTAATGTAAGCAGAGAACAATTATATACACGTTAAAACATAAAGAATCACATAGAGCCTAGAAAAAGTCCATAGACCGTTTGTAATGCAAGCAAAAATCACATGGTCCTAAGAATGGAGGAAGGAAAAAAATGTTAGGATCATTTGGAAAATGGGGACAAGGGGAGACACTGTTTAATGGAAATACAGAGTGGAGGTGGGAAATACAAAAACTGTTACATCTGGTGCAACTTTCTTCTTTTAACTGTTGCCGGCTGCCATTTTGGAAATCTCCAAAGCACATGTTCTCCACCCCAAGTAGTGGTGGATAACAAGTCATTGTTATCCCCTCTGTAGACCAAGCTGAGAATTTCTTTCTCAGCCATCTTTTAACCGTTTTCTCTATTTATCTCCGTCCGCCATCTTGTAATGTTCCAAAAACATGTGCTCCGTTTTCCCCAAGACCAGGCCCCAATCAAATCCTCAATCCGGCTTCATTCTTTTCGCAACATGTAACATACGATTATATACAAGTTCGCAACTTTTTCAACTGATCTATATTTATTGTAAAAATTTATCCAGTAATTTATTATTTTCTATCCTCACCCTTTTCGAATTTAAATTGTAACTTCCAGCCTTCAGGGTCTTGGCGCGCTGGTCCGTGACTCTGTCCTCACCTGCAAGGCGAGTTATATGATGACCTATTTCTTATCTTATGTCTTATCTCTTATTATTTTAGGTCTATTTATCCCTGCACTTAATTATCCGCAAAATTTTAGTCAGTTCTTGGCAACTACGGCGCGTGGCTCTGTCCTCACAAGTTCCAAATTTATTTATTTATTTTTTAGTTATCTAGCCTCATTGGCGTCGTCTAGTTCATATTTTAATTTATTGTGCCGCCTAACAGAGTCTAAAAGAGCTTACGGAGACAACGAAGAACCGCCATTACAACGCGAACCTCTTCCACTCAATTACTGCTGGTATCACTCCTGGTTCCAACAGGCCTTGTGGACTTAACTCTGCTAGCGCGTTATACACAGTGCATTACGTATACAGTCTATAAATTGCTATACGTTTATCCCCAACCGGTTAGAGGCCTATACTAGGTTTCCATTCATTCTACGACTGATCAGTTAAATAACGTCGCCCATTCACTTAACGTTAACGCTACACAACCGAGCTTTGTCGGTAACACACACAGAGACGTCCAAACAAACACTATATACAATGTGCTTTTTATCACAACGGCCATTCAAGCTAAGAGAAAACATTTTTTTCTCTAAAATGTAGTTTACCTCAAAACATCGTATCTTGTCCACTCACACCTAAATGTTCTATGATAAACTATACAGCATTTCGGTTTTAAAACAACTGGTTGCCGGTTACCTTTTCGATGGCGCCGTGTGAGTGAAGAAAATCGATCGCTGGGCCTTTGTTCAGATCAGCTGTTCCTCCGTCCGTCCATTGCTCTCCATCACGTCAGGGTCACCAAATTGTTGTGTTCAAAAATGAAGAAAACTCCGGACGAACAAAAGATACTGCAGATCGAAAAAGTTAGATCTAAAGAGTTTAATAAAAGAATAAGCGTTGCGCTAAAAAGTTAACACCTCGATCGAGGATTCGTAAGCTTCTCCAGTCCACAGGCCACAGAGAGTCCTTTGACTTCAACGTAGTTAACTGTCTACCGGTTTCACTCACGAACCCCGAACGAAGGGACAAACACGTACATATATAGACAATCGGAAAGGTGTGAAAACTATTCTATTGGTTTACAGAGTTCTTCTATGATGATTGGGTTAAAGTTGGTGCGGTAGGCAGTGTCTACGCCTCTGGGCACATGATGTCTTCTGATGCGTTCAATGTTGACTAGTTATTTGAAGTGGTGCAATGTGGTATTACACTGAATGTCGCGTTCAGTGTAACCTGGGTTTTTTAGTGTCTGTCAATGTAAATGGTTTTATTACATTTTCCTGTATGCACATTACATTTAATACAATGATATTTTAGCTTATTGACTCAATTGATTGTCTCAGAATTACAGTTATACATTGACATTACATCGTTCTCATTTCTTTATTGATTACATAATTAAAGGAGGAGAATTGAGTTTTTAATAACCTACACCTCACACATCACTGTCAGCTTTATATGACGTCTGGTGGCCATCTTTGAGCACTCGGAGGGAAACTCACTGGTTGTCCTTGATCTATAAGGCTCTCCTCGGTATGGTCCCGTCTTATCTATGTTCACTCCTCCGTGGAGTAGAAAACCGGTATGCTTTAAGGTCCAGCAACATTTACTGCTTGTACACTCCACGAGGGCGGACTGAATTGGGGGGAAAAGCATTCAGTTTTGCCGCCCCATCAACATGGAACAATCTCTAGGCTGAACAGAAATTGTCTCAACTTGTATCTTTTAATGTTTTCCGACGTCTCCAAATGGACAGACAACAAAAATCTATTGAACGGTGCCTCTGCTTTTGACCATTTTTTCTATGTATTTTAGTTTTTAACTTAATGTGTATTGTGGTTTTACTCATGTCATGTCTGAAAAAGCGAACTTGGTGGTGTAGTAAAATATACTAATTAAACTGTCCTAATGTCTACAATTACATTTTTCGTTTCTGCGGGAACTAGATTTTGTTACGATTCCTTTTTTCATCCACGATATTGGCTGCCGTGCTAAACAGTCTAGCCTCAGTGCTATCCTGCTATCCTGCTAGTCTGCTAGCTGGCTGCAAACTGTGGAGTGGATTTCCTGAGCGTGTCTCATAACTGTCTCATTGAGCCGCGCCCCCGTTCAGGAATCCATTCCACAGTTTGCAGCCAGCTAGCAGGATAGCAGGATAGCAGGATAGCACTGAGGCTAGACTGTTTAGCACGGCAGCCAATATCGAAAAAAGGAAGCGCACTGCAGAGAGAGCAGAAATGCTCATATTCCTCAAGAAGAACCTGCCGATGTAAGATTTGTTGAACACTACATCACTTCCTCAGAGTCAACTTTGAGATATTCAATTTTTGTTATATTTTAAAGAATAGTTAGACTCTGGTGTTTAGTTTATTCCAGGTCATCTTAAGTGCTGTTCTGATGCACACTGTTTAAAAACTTATTGTGTGTGTGTGTGTGTGTGTGTGTGTGTGTGTGTGTGTGTGTGTGTGTGTGTGTGTGTGTGTGTGTGTGTGTGTGTGTGTGTGAGAGAGAGAGAGAGTAAATGTGATTGCGTGTGTGAACGAGTGAGTGAGTGAGACTGTGTGTCAGGTGTGTAAGATGTTTACAGTTATTTTATTGCACTTTTCTTCAGATATTGGACATGTTGTTCATGATAGAGTCAGTATACTTGATTTGTGCTGTTATTTTTGTAAACGAGTGAGTGAGACTGTGTGTCAAGTGTGTGTATGTGTGTGTGTGCACTTTTTTGTGTCACACATTTTAAGACTTATTAAAAATAAGTCTTTGACATTTGACATTCATGAAATTAAATAAATATTGACATGACAATCAATCTGAAACCCTTAGTTTCCAATTTGTTTTCAGAATTTTTTCTGTTAACAGGATTTCCTGTTTTTCAAACACAGCTCTGGTATCGGAATATTATCTGTATCGGCCGATATCCAAATTTAGGTATCAAGATCGGATCGGAAGTGAAAACATGTGGATCGGTGCATCCCTATTAATAACCTTTAAACAGACTTCTCTCTCAAAGTTAAAACCATAGGACAAATGTTTGCCTTTCTCCAAGTTGATCATTGTAAGTGGCTACTTGGTGCTTTTCACCGTATCTGTATTCAAAACGCCTGTAGAATTCATTTTTCACTGTTTTGCTATTAACTAATGTCATACTGAATTCTTGTCATTCCAGATCAAGGAGGAGTTTTGGAGAATAACTACAATTTCTCTAGAGCAAAGCTTCATGTACAAACTAGACCACTATACACCAAAGCTTACTGCCCTGATGAAAGCCAAGGGAGGTGTTGTGGGGACCAGACTGAGGCCCCATCTGGATAAACTGAGTCAGGTATGTTTGATGTATCTTCTGCAGGAAGACAGATCTACTGTGTGTCACAGTTTCACACACATTCTGCCCCTGTTCTAGACAACACAAATTCTCACTCTCTGTAACATACTTCTCCTTTCCACACATGGAAACAAACCACTGCTCCTTGCAAGTATTTGTATCTTCTGACATGATAGTATATTGTGTACAAATTATTGTTTGGAACTGATGCTATTACTCCTTTCACAGAACCCAATCACTGACATGAGACGTGACGCAGTTATCCGTGGCCTCATACTATTCCTTGGTGAAAAAGAAGAGGAACTTTTCGAAGATTGCCTGGTAAACCACATTTTCTTTCTAAAATAATTTTTTGTCTCTTTACTTGAGTACGATATCTATGGGTGATTTTAATATATTTTTTCTGCACCAAAGTAGTTGTAGTAGTAGTTGTAGTAGTTAATGTTTTTTACTTAGGCATAACTTTTAAATACGTTTTACAACACTTCTTGTAATAGTCTATTGAAGGCTGGTATTCCTACTCTTGAATTGTTGTCAACTGAATAGTTTTCTTTTTTCTTGTGAATTTCATGCAGGAGGACAATCGCAGTGATCACTCAACACATAGTCAAGATCCTGGTTGTCCATGGTACTGATGGAGAAAAACCAGTAGATGTTTCCATCATTCTTGAAGGGAAGGAGGTATTGACAGGATGCAACAGCACAGCCAAAGCTTGCACGTTGCTAATGGGACTGATTTATTCCCTGAACCTTGCCTACCCCTCGGCTCTGCGCTACACCTTTGAGGTGTTTCAAAAACTTTTCCTGGAACTGAATGGGATAAAGCTGTCACCAAAAGTACATTCTTTAAAGTTGAAGTTGCTGTCTTAAAAGCTATTTCCAGAAGGTACACTGTGCAGTCTTAGCTGGCCAACCCTAACTCAATGTTGCAAATGGCTGGAGTAACATCAATAACTTGCACAGTTACAGAGACTGACTCCATGGACCCTCCACTCACACACCACATATTGCTTTTAAATGAATCCTTCACTGTCAATTGTGGTGGCAGAGACCTTCTTCAACTTTCCAAAAGTCTGTGATGACTGATCCCATGTGGCCGGGACTAGACTTAAAAAATTGAAATTGCTGCCTTAAATAGTTTAATGTAAACACATATAGAGATAAATGTGAATTGTGTGTGTAAACATGGTTTGTAAGGTAAGTGGTAATATGGGTCTCAGTAATGCTGTTCTGCTTGCACTTTTGTAGCCAATTAGCAGGTTGCCTTCAAGTTTATTTTTCACCCTCCAAGATGTTAGGAGTTTTCTTTCTTAAATGTTCCTTATGTTGTCAACAAAGGCAACTGCTGTCATTCATGCTCACAAGGTAAAGACGAAGTTAAAAATAACCTTTGTTTTAAAGGTTTTAACAGAGGATTTGATGTTGTACTCAAACTTTAATGTTTTAACCGAATGCTAATATAAATATGTTAATGGATGTTGCGGTTTAGAATCTTTTTCATGTCAGTACAGCATATTTTGTCAGGTCAAACCCTCATAATCTGTTTTGTCACCTGATGTGCCCTGTTTAGTTTAATGCTTCCAGGGGTCAAAAACATTTTGATTTTCCAGTGATAAGCTTTTTTTCTGTATAGCGTAATGATCACTCAGTAAAGGTAAACATTTTTTCTTTATTGATGCTTTATTGATTTACTGCTGCTGAGATTTCATTTCATTTTTTGTCATGTGAAATGTGACTGCTGTTTCATGTACAGTTCTACATGGCTGTATAAAATGAGGTGTTATGTAAGGTACCTGACAAATGTTTATGAATAAATAATGGAATTGTATTTTAGCCGTGTGATTATTAATAGTATTTGGTAATATTTATCAAAAGAGAATTTGCAACATTTACATAAATTAATTAGGTAATATAACTTCAAACAACCAAGTAATTAAAATGACCAAACAGGATAAAAAGTACTTGATAATTTTACGACAGTAAATATCAAAGATAAATAAAATCTACTCAATATTTTGATGTTGTAAATGTATATGTATACAAAAAATATAGTATATTGTACTTAATTTGTGTGTGTAATAAAAATTGAAACATCAGTTAAACTAAGTAACACTTACCTAATCTTTTCACAAATGTTACCATCAGAAATAAGTAGTATTTAAGTAGTAGTATTTTACTTAATACTATTAAGGAACTTTTACTGGATATTACAGCAGTAAAATTTACTCAAAAATTTTGAGTGCAAATTGTTACGAGGATTTTTTTAAGTAAATGTTAGTTGTTGTTTTTTTCAGTATATATGTATTTTATGGCTGTTTTTTAACGACGTGTACTGCTGCCTTCTTGGCCAGGTCGCCCTTGAAAATGAGATCTCGATCTCAATGGGACTTTTACCTGGTTAAATAAAGGTTAAATAAAAAAAATGATATATCAGCAGTTGTAACCTGCTTTGGCGAGAGCTTTATAATGACAAGTATGATAGTATTTTAAATAAAATAAATGTAGATATTTAGTCATTGTTATGTCTGTTTGTCTCAGTAATATATTTAAAGACGCACTTGAAAAGTAGTAAAAAGAAATACTTGATAAATATAATAGTAGTATTTGCAAATATGCAAACGAACGTTGAGATAAAATATATACCACTTTAAAACTGCAAAACGGACGAAAGGTGGCGCACTTTCTCAAATGAGGAGAACCCCTCTGCCCTGCGTGGCGTTTTGCTGGTGTCCCTCACGAGACGATTCCACGTCGCGCCACTTCTACGCGCGTTGATCCTTTCCTTCAGCCGTGCGCCGTTTGCAATATTATCGGGGGGACTATTATTTTCATTTTATTTAGGAATTTTCCGCAGCTTTCCTGCTCTGACTCTCAGAACAGGGGAAGAGAGGAGGGAAGACGTGGAGGCGGGGGACAGGGGGACAGACAGACACAGAGAGAGAGAGGGGGGGAGAAAAGAGAGAGAGAGAGAGAGGGGCGATGGCCGCCGATGGAGTATGCGGGGAATCGATGGAGCAGTACCGGGTCGAGTTGGAGCGGCTCACCCAGGAACTGGCCGAGGCGAACCGGGAGAAGATCAGGGCGGCGGAGTGCGGGCTGGTGGTCCTGGAGGAGAACCAGGTGCTGAAGCAGCGGTACGCGGACCTGGAGATCGACCATGACGCGCTCCGCAAGGAGTTGGAGCAAATGCAGGAGGTAAGAGAAGAGGCGACTGTTGCTTTTTTCGGGTGGTGGTGTTGTTTTGTTAGACCGTGGCATGCGCACTGCGGACAGGTGTGAGATGAGCCGCATACACAAGGGATGCTTTGTTAAAATGCGTTCACGTGGATTAGGAATTGGTAACAAGCTACATGAGATGGTTTGATACGTTTGATTCATTTCAAAATCCCGTCAATTGAGGCCCGTTCCCACGATGCCAAAGGACTCATCCACTATGAATAAGTTAACGCCAAAAGCTGAATAATGTATGCTGGTTTTGTGCAGTGGATCCACTGACAGCAGCTCGTTGCAAACATCTGTATTGCGAGCAACATTCCTTCTTGTAAAAGCCTTCAGTGATGGGTTCCTCAGACGCAGGTCTACAACGCATTGTGCGGCGGTGGACTTGGTTGTCCACTGATTTAAATGTCAGGAAGGGGGAAGTGCGAGAAGACACAAGGACGCCGTGATGGAGGTTTTTAGATTACACACGCATTTGCTGCCGTATAGCAAAACGTTGCGCTGTTGAAGTTTGGAGGCCAGGGGTCAACAACTTTACAAGGAAAGTGCTACGTGAACAACGGGCCTTCCTCGCTGGCCGCATTAACACAGACAGTCATTAATGCATAAATGCATACAGCGACAAGAGGCGGATGCTGACAGGTCTCGGAGCTCAAGGTCACTTATGGTGATGCTAGAGCCAAAAGTCCAAGAGAAGAGGAAGCTGAAGGCTTCTTGTTATGTACCTGTGTGTGTGTGTGTGTGTGTGTGTGTGTGTGTGTGTGTGTGTGTGTGTGTGTGTGTGTGTGTGTGTGTGAGTGTGTCTGAGAGAACGTGGGAGAGAGAACGAGAGCTGCGATATAAGCTCCCTGCCGCCAACTTTCATCCACTTTCATTTTTGTCATTTTTGACACGCTGTCATCTCGTGTTTATGTGAACACCGGTCAGTTTGATATTAAAGAGTTCAGGCCAGAAGATGCTTGAGAGGGCAGACTATTCTTTTAGCAAGAATAGCAATTTAAGCAATTGTTTAAACATCTGTTAATTGCATTTGTAAAAGAGGATAACATTAAGAACAGGTCAATGGCATGTGTTTTAGTGTTTGTTTGTTTGTTTGTTTGTTTGTTTGTTTGTTTGTTGTTATTAGATATACCTTAAATAATAGTATAATACTATATATATATAATATAATATAATATTATGAGATATTTTATTTATTTTTAAGTTGTTTGCCACTGTACAGCATTCTACACTACCCTAAAAAAGAAAATATTGTACTTAGAAATAAGTTAACCACAGAAATAAGTTACACAATGCGTTTTTCTAGTTAAACCTTTTTGGCTCTTGACTGAATGTATAATTGTATTGTGAATGAACAAAATGAGGGACATTATGTTTTATTGACCTTTAAAATCTCATGAAAATGTAGCTTATATTTAAAACCAAACTGCACTTGGCATTTTATATTTGTAAATATATTTATATTTTATAAGTGTTGACAGTGTTGTCCATATAAGAATCTGCCTTATTTAGAAATTTTACTTTAAACAAGCAAGTGCAATGTCACGAATCACGGCTGGGCGAGGACTCAAATGCAGAGATTCACACTGGAAACCAGATTAAGATTGAAACAAAATATGGTGCTTTATACTGACAAGAAAGAAACTCGAAACACAAGAGGTTAACGAGACGTTACACGTAAACCTTCTCTTAATATCAGTTTGTTTGACTCTTAACAACCAGAGCAATCTACGTCTAACGAATACATACTTATAATATAATATAAAATATACTGTGCGTGTGGGCCAAATAAACAAAAAAAACAGTCTCAGTCTACGTCACTGTGCGTGCACGACTTTTTGGCTCGCATGCAGCATCAGAATGATTTGTGCCGCTCGCAGCAGCATGTTAAGAAAAAGAGACAGCCTGCGTGAAGCCGGCAGCAGAGCACCGTCTAGCTGATACCTCACACTTAATGGATCGTTACGGATGAGGGGTGATGTGGCGGATGATACGGAGATTATGACGAGACAGGGAGGAGAAAGAAGCAGAGAGATTAAACATTTGGGCTTTGTAGGAAAGGGATCAGAAGGAAAGTAAGTATTTCTTATTAATAATTCTATGCCAGAAGACGACGAGGTGGATGCGCCTGCCGTACTGTGCTGGACTTCCTGAGGATCCTGTAATCACTTAACACCAGGCGGTGCTTTGACCCTCTCATAACGGTCCACTTGCCCTTGCAGCATTTTTAAAACCTGTGTAGCAAAACGTTAACTCTCATAGCTGTAAAAAAATGTTTTTTTTTAAATGTCAGCTGCAACAGCAGCAGCTATTTGCTGGGAATCTGTCATCTGTTAACATCTGCACCCATTGTATCCTCTGCTTCCCCACCTGCCTGTCTCCCGCCCCCGCCTGTCTCTCTGTCCCCCACTCCCGCCTGAGAGAGGGAAAATTTTTTCCAGAGGGGATATCACTTCCAGAGCAAAAACACGTCCCGCTTCCGTCCACGTCCGCCGTCCGCCGTGCGCTCATGACGTCCGCCGTGTGCTCATGAGGGTGAGATCGAACGGCAGAGTGCAAACCTGCCACTACAATAACGTCGACTCCCGCCCTTCTCCAGAGAGGCGCATTAGCAAAAAGGGGGAATGGAAACTGCAGATGGATTTTTGGAATTGCTTCTGAGACTGAGTGGCCTTCTCAGAAACCGTTATAATAAAAGTCTCATCGTTCTCTTTTTATTATTTTACTTTAGAATAGATTGAATGATCTGTTTCATCCAGTCACTGTTAATTCATGTACAGGTCAAAGGTTCAGACACATATTCACACATGTGTTTATGTACATCGATGTGGGCGCCGGCCAGACTTGCACGCATGTCAATACCAACAAGAGCACTACACTCACTTACACGTGCTCTCACACACACATACAGGGCTCGGTACATTTGTATCTGGTTAAGTTTAGTATCTGGCTATATTTAATGTCAGCCCCCAATTGAATGACAATACAAGGCCATTTGGGAATCAAGAAGCCAACGATTATTTTCATTGTTGACACAGATTGTTTTCTCCTCCCACAATGTCTCAGAACCTAATGTGCCGTTTTTAAGTAGCGTGTTGTGTTTGAGGTCGTCCAAAAGTAACGGAGGGTTATTTCCGACAGTTGGAATTTCACTGGAATTGTTTGGCATTCAGAATAAAAAATGGTGAAGAAATATTTCCTTGATGTGAGGTGGTCTTCAGTGGATCTTACCCCCCAAGTGCATTTTAAACCATCTCTGTCTCTTAGTGGGATGTTTGTCTTACTTTTGGAAGTTATTATCCGCACAGCGTTTTGGTTCTGAAAGCCAAATCATTTTCGTGTTTTTCCCTCACGCGGCCGTTTACACTCAGCCTCTCTCTCTCTCTCTCTCTCCCTTCTGCTCGCCCGGCCGGCCCTATAGCTCTCTCGTTCCTCGTATCTCTGTGTCTGTGCAAGTCTCTGGATCGCCCCGTGGTTCTGGCTTGTTAGTGCTGTCTCTGGGCAGATCAAGCTCAGCTACACGGCAGAGGAGGACGGAGGAGGAGGAGGAGGAGGAGGAGGATGCACAGCGGGGGAGAGTTGTGTTTTCATATGGCTCACATAGACGTCCTCACCACGCTGTCAACAACGCTCGGAGGTGTCCAAAGATGGAGCTGGAAGAGCAGCGTCGCCGCCGTGGAGTCATGCCATGTCATGCCATGATTACTTATTTTGTTCTATGACGTCACTGGATTTTTGTGTGAAAATAATCCATACTCAATAGCGAGTAATAGCAATTACTTCTCTTAAATCTCCTTTAAAACGAAAAACATGGCTGCCACTCACAGGTGGAAGGAGGAGAGTGAAAAAAAAGTTCTTCATGCGGTCGAGTTGAGAACAGGCAGTCCACACACAACAGATCAGTTATGTCATCAAGACTTAAGGCTGAGAAATATGCCAAAAGAAATATTCATCAAACTCTTCACATATCTTCAAATAAATATTCAGTCACGATTCATCAGATCAGCAGGAAATCCTCCACTTCAAGACGAAGTGTCTGTGTTCCTTGCAGCTGTGTGTAGTCACCCCTCTCTTCAACACTGTTGTCTGAGCACAGTTCTTGACTCACAGTATTTGCAGCCACTGCACTTGGCTACTGCAGCAAATATGTTCATCTAGGATTAGTTCGAGATGAGATAAGACTTTGTGGAAGATAACGTGTTGTTTAGTGAGTATAAGAGGTTCTAGCTAGTAAATCTAGTAAATAAGTAAATAGAATTTGAACATTATCTACTGTAATGTATTGTAACAGTAATTATTGCTGATGATTGGATTTTAGGGTAATTTTACAGTATATCACAGTATTTTGAGGGCGGTTGTCAAATTCACAAAGAGCAACAACACACTTGACTGTCCTGTATTGATTTATTGATTTGCTGTCGTTTCCTCTGTAGTCGCTGTACAGTGAATATCACGTCACGTCAGGTCAACATCAAGCGACTGCTCAGTCATTGTGAGCAGGGCGTTAAGCTGTCATTTGACTTGAAGTCCTTCACAGTGAATGTTGAAGTCCAGAGAAGGAGCTGCCAAAGTCACTCTGGTTGCCAAACCTCCCGTGTCTTCATAGTGTAAGGAACAACAAAAGCAGAATACATCACAGATGAGGAATTACATTTCCAGGTGTTTCATAAATTTCCCTCATCGACTGAACAGATGTGTAGCGGCAGAGTTCAAGTTTGGGGACACATCTGGCTCTGGGAAATCTTGAATATCTCTTTTATTTATCATCTATTAATGACAATTGCGAAAAGAAACTTTTGTCGGAGGAAATGCGTAAATATGACCGGTTATACAAGCCGTCATTGGCGGGTTGTAAAATCGTGTTGGATTCATGGAGGGAGATCGCCGCAGACGCCGGTTTGCCGGTCGAGAGGTGCACAAAGTTGTGGAGGAACAAACGGGACAAATGTGTCCTTGATGAAAAGAAACAGTGGCGA